CTGTCAAGTAGTAGGAGATGCTGCTGGCCCAGTCAGGTCCCAATTTGTAGCTGGCCTCATTCCCTCTTCCACCAATGGTCAGCCTCCACCTGGAAACTTACATAACAGACATCACAGAGTACAAACAATGCCCCCGCATGGTGTGGCGAGTAACAGCACCACACGGCAACAATGACCTGGGTCATAGCAACGTCTTGATGCATCTCAATCATCCAGGTAAGTAAATCTCCAAAAGTTGATTGTGTTCATCTGGACGTCTTCAGTCTCAGCTGGCTGCAGGTTTCCACAATCTTATAAACAGGACATTTGCATAATGACTGAAACAGCCCACTGAAGGAACAATGGGCTGGGAGGTCAGCTCCTTAATCATGATTATTCATGACCATTGATCAATAACCACTGACCAAAGACCACTGATCAATGGCCATGAGTCCCATTCACAGAGAGTTGGGGAATGGCTGCAATCACAGCATGTAAGATGGTGACAGATGTACCCTTAGGCCCCTCCTCCATTCAGAGATGGTCTTTCCCTTTTGGCCTCCTTGACTCCGCCCACAAACCAGCGTTCCTCCCTGTCCAGGATGTTACATCCTCACTGGCCTGTAGGTGTAAACGGACTGCAGAGTCCTGGCCTGACGAGGTGGCTCTCCTGTGTTGCAGCCAGAGGTTGTTTGGTTTCCCCGATGTATAAATCCTGCCAATCCTCCTGCACTTAACAGCGCACACTATGTTACTCTGTGTGTGTCGGTCCCCCAACACAAACAGAGTCGAGTGTCCAGCAAACCTGAGCAAACTTTCTGTTTTTCAAAAGAACGAAAAAGGTCATAAATTGTTGTGGTTTTGTTGTTTTTTTCTCCTTCAGGGGGCTACGTCTGCATGTCCAGAGTGGACCCAAAGTCCGAGTCTGGAAACAAATATAAAACATCTATGGAGCGTGAACTGCAGCTGATGGTGGAGGAGGGCCTGTGGAGCCCTGTCGATACCAAAGAGATGCACAGATACATGATGGATGTTTATAATGATAAAAGCAAGGATGAGAAAAGGGAGGAATTCCTCCAGGGAACCATGTACCTGTACAGGAAGTCTCTTAATAAGCTGTAAAATTAGGAGTGGAGCTAAAAATGTGAGCTTACATATTCGTCGAGCATGTGCTGGCGTTAGCGTTAGAGT